CAGACACAAAAGACTGCATGCTGTATATGATTCCATGTACATGAAATTCTAGAAAAGGCAAGAGATCAGTGGTTGCCAGGGAGTTTGGGAGGAGGAGGTTGACTGCAAAGAGGCATAAGGGAACTTATTATGATGATGGAAATGTTCTATATCATGGCTGTGGTGATGATTACATGACTGTACACATTTGTCAAAACTCATCAAACTGTACACCTAAAACTGGTGAGTTTTATTGTATGTAAATTATATCTTTCTTTTTTTTCCCCCCCAAAGCCCCAGTAGATAGTTGTATGTCATAGCTGCACATCCTTCTAGTTGCTCTATGTGGGACGCGGCCTCAGTATGGCCGGAGAAGCAGTATGTTGGAGTGCGCCCTGGATCCCAACCTGGGCCGCCAGCAGCGGAGCACGCACACTTAACCGCTAAGCCGGGGGCCAGCCCTGTAAATTATATCTTAATAAAACTGATTACAGGGGCCAGCCCGGTGGCACAAGCGGTTAAGTGCATGTGCTCTGCTGTGGCGGCCCAGGGTTCGCCTGTTGGGATCCCGGGTGCGCACCGACGCACCACTTGTTGAGCCATGCTGTGGTGGCGTCCCATATAAAGTAGAGGAAGATGGGCACAGATGTTAGCTCAGGGCCAGTCTTCCTCAGAAAAAAGCGGAGGATTGGCATCAGATGTTAGCTCAGGGCTGATCTTCCTCACAAAAAAATAAATAAATAAATAAAACTGAATATAAAAAAACAAGTGATGGATTCACACTTTATTTCATAATCACAAAAAAGAACTTTAAAAGAAGCGTTCTTTAGTTTTAAATTCAAGCATTTACTATTCAAGCATTTACTACACAATACACAAAATTAACACCAATTAAGATATGGGGCAAGTTACCAAAGGAAATATAGAGAAGAGAATGTTTTCATCACTTACTAATTCATCTTAACACTCAATTAAATAAAACCTGAGATTCACCAGAGCCTACCCAAATCTGTTACAGAAAGAAGCAAATCACAAAGTACGACTTTAGACTAGCCATAATAACTTTAGCTATAAAAAGTATTCTTTCAATGTGTTTCATAATACATTACAATAGTGAGTTTTAAATTAGTTAAAAACTTATTTTTTCAAAGTATGACTTTCTAAAACACACTTTTGGTAATAAAATTATTCAGTTTTCAGCAACAAAGGTTGTGGTAAATTACTCACAGATACTGAAGAAAGATGTAAGGCAAGAATCAAAAGTCTGGTGTGCATCCTGCTTTCAGATGCTTTGACAATACTATTGCACTGCTAGCTGTAAAGTACAGTAGTGCAATAAAGTCAGAGCATTCGTTAGCAGTAATAGGTAGGAAAGGAACACAAAAGCATCTTGTATCAGTTGAAGCTTCAGTGCGAAAAGAATTTAAAGAAAGGTTGCCATTTTGGACAGAAGACATCCAAAACCTAAGAACATTTATATCAATGTTAAAAAAAAAGAATAGGACTTAAATATCAAAGTGATATTATTTTTTGATGACTAACCTACGATTAATATTCAAACAGAAACATGCATAAATATAAAAGGGAATTTTGTAAACATGCCCTAAGCTTTAGAAATTATTAACAAGGGTATTGTTAGTACCTTAGTTAGTATTAACAAAACTGGTTCTAGTTACTGCTAAGGCAAAGGTGTGAAAAATATTTCCATCCTGCTGAGATGTGTTGGTTAGCTCCTCCATAGCAATTGATTAATCAACTGCCATATAAAATGAGTCTTTTGAGTAAGAATAAGAAAGAAAACAAATGAAAAGTAAAATAATGTTTCCCAATCTCTATACACCAAATCTCTCTTTCTCTCGCTGGAATCTAAACTACAATACAAAAAGCACTTACCATTTTATGGCTTTTTATCTCAAGAGTTTACAGACTTGCAAGGAATCAATGTGTCCTAAACAAGATACCATTAGCCCTACCTAACTGAACACTATAGAAGGAGATTTTTAATTTTCATTTAACCTCTAAAACTTAATTACAGGAGGTAATCATCTTCATTTCCTTCAAACTTAGAAAAATCAAAGACAAAATAATAAGGGGGCGTGGGGTCCAAGATTCAAGAATCAGCTTTCCTTGGATTCAAGCCAATTAACATCCTAACCTTTTAACTGGTAAGAAACCATTCAAAAGTCAGATGTAAACCCAGAAATAGAAATAGTATCATATTATCACATTATACTACCTTTTATGCACAATCACTAGCGGTACCACAAAAGAAGGACACTAGACAAATACCACTCAATCAGTAAGTGAAGGGAAAAAAGTACAAGAACAAAGATAACCCCACAATGAGCTTATTCCTCCATGAATAATGTTGATTGATGCAAAAATACTTTCCATTATTTTCACTAACCTTCTGTAGGGCCTGGGCCTTGCTTGCTCAGCAAGAGCCCACAAGCCCATTGCAACCACGTGTCCTTCTGGCTACCTTCTGGGCAGGACACCCAGCTGCTGGGATCTGTAACAATCCAGGGCCTGGCCAGCCCAGATCCTACCTTATCTCACTTAAAGAACATCAAGTCTTAAAGGGACATAGAGCCTCTCCACGTGAGCTACTGTTCCTGGGAACGCTGGTCGTACCAGGGACAGCCCCTTGGCAAGCATATAGCCTTTGTGTCCCCTGCCTATATAAGCAACCCCCTCGCCACTCGCAGTGGCAGGTGAATGTTTCTGTCCAGCTGGCCACTACTGGACCTCCCTGTAAGTAACTCCCAATAAACCTATATATCTCGTTCTCCGTCTCCAGGTCTTTTCTTTGGTCTCTCCTCAATCTATCCAGCAGTGCTCACCCAACTGGGCGTGTGGCCAGACACCTTCCTATAAATGGTCCAGTTCAGCTACTTACTTGGCTTGAGCCTACTAAGAAATGGACTGGACATTCAGGACAGCTGGAACATGAGTGTCTTGCTCTCAAATCCTGGGCCACATAACTCAAATATTAGAATATTTCGACTCTGCTAGCCAAGGATCAGGTTTTAAAGACAAGTATTCAAAAGACAAATGTTTGATTTTCTGAAGTTAATATAAATGAGAAAAATATGAAACATTTTTAAATTAAGAGGATCAGGCTATCTGTCTACAAAATTAGGATAATTACTATGTTTTCAAAGTTAAATAGTATGCATTCTCTTTTGCTTATTAAATATTCAACATTGGTTCCTCGACAAATCCTTTATGCAAGTAATGTAAAACCAACAATCAGAGGATTGTACAGGAAATCATTTACCTTTAGAATCTTAGGAATTAAACTGGTTCACAGATATAACATTTTTTTCTAAAAGCACATAGCAAATCGGAAGATAAGATGCACTGTCTTTTACTATCCAATCAATACAAAGCAGTAATAATAAAACTATGATAACAGTTCAAACACTTTGTTAAAATCCTAGTGATATTGGAAACGAACTAATAACTTGAACAGGAAACAAAAAAACTATAACTAGGTTACTTTCAAGGAATTTAAGAAGATCTGCTTTTTTTCTCTTCCTCTCATAAAAACAATTTTAAAAACTACTACATCATTCAAACATCTAAAAGTTTGAGTCTAGCTACCTCATAATTTTCTAAAACTTACTTTTTTCAACATGTACATTTAGTTGTCTTCCCCTTAATATGTGTTCAATCTAAAAAAAAATTCATGTGAGAATATTGATTCTATTGCAAAGTCTAGAAAAGGCTTAATTGGTAAGGTTTAATTGGTACCTCAAAATTAAACAGCCAGCTTAAGGGTGGGGTGCTGTTAAAAGCAGAATTAGTATCATCTAGCATCTTACAGTTAGGCAGAAATATTGATCTGGAGGGAGGAATTCAGAATGGGGGAGAAGGGCAAGACAGTATTAACATTTATGCCTATTGACAGAATCCAACTACAATATTTAAGGTGTTTTTGATTTGTCTGTTTGTGTTTGTTAAGACAGTTAATGATAAAAATAACAAAACTCTGAACTAAAAGTTCATTATTACAGGTTTGGAAAACTGCAGAAAATTCTTCCTTCTTCACTGCCATTTCTCTCCCCCCCATCCCCACACACACCCCCACAAAGAAAATTAAAACTCAAAACGTTAGAAGCAACTGAAAGTCTTCAAGTCGAATTTGTATATGAAAGGCACTACAATTCATTAATATACCAGAAGAACATAAGTTATATTAAGGTCTCACATTTTCTGGGGGTGGGAATGGAGGTGAGGATGGCACTCAGTTTCTTCCAGGATCACTACACATGCAGACATTAAAGTGACCCAAGATTTAGCTTGGAGAGAGCAGCACAAGTACAAATGATACCTAAGGACTAATGCCAGGCAACGGCAGGGGGAGGAGGGGCGGACTGCGGATGGAGAAGAAAGATTTTGGCTTTTTTACTTAATCTTGTTATTTTTCCTTAACAAAAAACCAACAGGAAATCAATGAAGGGTGCGTCCTCCAAATTCCACGTTTTAAAGGAAGCAGCCCAATCCAAAAAACTGGTAATGCAGGGGGAAAAGAAGGACTGAAGATAGAACAAGGGAGCTAAGAAGGGAAGAAAAAAAGCGCGGGCTATCAAACTGGTAGTCTAGGGATGGGAGGGAGGGAATAAGGAAGACAAGTGAGGGAAGAATCCATAGAAGAAAACTAGGACAGCCTTCCAGCTTTGGCGCCCTCGGGCAGGCCAAGCAGCAGCGGGAATCCTTTCCAGTTATTCGCCCCTGCCCCCTACTTTCACAAATGAATGAAACTAGGCAAATAGAGAGCAGGGTCCCTTCCTTGTCCCACTCTCGCCCGCGCTCCAGGAAAGAAGCTCGCGGTTCAGATCCCCATCGCTCACACCTCTCCCCCACCCAAGGACTGCCACCTTCGGGCCAAAAAAAACTAGTCTAGGGGCTTCTTTGGCCGCGAGGAAGTTGTGCAAGCAAGTCTAGCATCCTTTCTCAGACTTTCTCAGCCCGCCCTGGAGAATGAACGGTTCAGCCCTAAAGGGATTTCTCTCCGCCCCCCTCGGTTTATTCCCCTCCCCACCCTCCATCCTCTTTTCCTGGAGTGTGAACGACCTCTCCCCTTCTTGGGGCGCTTAGGGACCATTCCAGTCACGTCTTCTTGCTGGAAATACTTAGAACACTGTCTGCACCAGCCACGGCTCCTTGAGGAGCGGAAAGGTGAGGGCAAGGAACAAGGAATTCCAAAGGCCCCGCACCCTCAGCATCTCCCGCCATTTCCCTCATGAGTTTCCCGGATGTAACCCCTTCCCCGCGGCGGTTAAAAGAGACCAGGCGGCGGCGACTCCCTTTGGTGCAGGAGGAGGGAACTCGAGTCTGGTCCGGCCTCCGCCGCCCAGGGTTTCCGGCGACTCCAAATTCCGACCCACCTTGGAGGCCATCGGGGAAAGGAAAATACCCAGTAGATCTGCCTCACTTTACACTCACCATCAGTTCCAGCTTATCGACCTCCGCCTCCATGTTGAATAGTTGACATTCCTCAGACCGCGGCGGCGCTTAAGCCGCAAACCGTACTAGCACTGAGGGTCCCTATTGGACAGCTGTCACTCAACGTCTTGCACTCATTGGCTCCTCCGCTTCACCGGCGCCCGCCCATTGGCGACTGGGTAACGCCCATCCCCATGAAACACCTTTCCCTGTTGGACAAAGACACAAAACGCCGCAGGAGGATTGGCTACTGTACACTTTTTTTTTTCCCATTGGCTGCACCCTCATATCAACTTTCAATTTCATAGTTAGGGCTCAGCAGAGAAGAGCTGGCGATTGGTGCAATCTGTAAAAGAGCCAACCAGTTACACAAAAGCTTCCACAAACAGCACAGGGGACGTGACACACCTTCTTTCCTCTCCTGCTTCCCCTCCTCTTCGCTCCCGCCTTCTCGTTATTCATACAAGAAGCGCCTCAGCTCTGATTGGCCGGAGCGTGGTACTATCTCAGCCAATCACAAGCCAAGCTGTGCTCCTGCGCTACCGCGAGAGCGAATCGTGGCGAGACCATGACTACGATTGGTCCGTCCACGATAAGGTTTTAATTTTGAATTTTTCTTTAATGGCGAGGGAGACGCCGCTGCCGGGACTCCATCTAATCCCCGTGCTCTTAGACTAGTAAGTGCAGGGAGATCTTCCTTTGTTACCTGGGTTCGTGTCTTCCGTAGCTGGGCCTGTTGCTGCTTGCGTTCTTACGGTTTACAGAGGTGAGGACTTTGGCTGGACTCGAATGGGAGATGGAGCGGGGAAGAAGAGATTTGAGGCTGCGTAAGAAGTTCTCGGCAGGGCTCCATCCTAACCATACTTGTATTAATTTACGCTCTGCAAAATGTTTTGGCGCAAAAAAATCTGCCTTCCTTTTGCACAGTTCTTTACATCTTTGCTACTCAAAATGTGGTCCGCGGACCAACAGCATCTGCATCACTTGGGCGCTTGTTAAAAATGCAAATTACCGGGCTCCACCCAAACCTACTGAATCAGAAGATGCATTTTAACACACCCAGTGATTCTTATGCACATTAAAGTTTGAGAACGTACATTTCTTGGCAGGAAATATTACTATGTTCCTTGATATAGTCTTAATATCTTCCGACGTTCTGTGCGAGTTTTAATTTTAAAAGTGTGCCCTGTTTACTATGTGCCTAATACTGTGCTGGACTAGGCTTTAGGGAGCTGCAATCTCTTTAAAGAAAACAAGAACTAAAATAGCAATGCTGCACAGCATAAAACGTAAAATTAAATATAAGCAAGTACTACCAGAAATAATCCTATGGATGTTCAAGAGGAATCAGTTGAACAGGTAATGGAAATTGATTACTTGACTGAAAGCTGTTTATGGGAGAGTGTAAGAAATCTCCATAGAAATATGTTTTAGGAAGATGGTAATGAAATGCAATTGTCATTTCCATTGCTGCCACAGCTTTGGAAGTGTCCTCTGACCAAAAGCACTTTTCATATCACAGGGTAGAGTTTTAATAGAAGCAGCAATGCCAACTTCTACAGAAGACTGAAATTCTTAGGCTATTATTTAGTGCATCTTCCTAGTGGAAATAGTTTTGGACCCATCCTCTAACCATATGAAGATGTGGTATGATTTGAAGAACTAAAAACCTCGCTCACCAAGAGATTTTCCAGAATTTTATTGTATTAAAGCATATTCCTTAACTAAAAGAGAGAACACTTGCTAGCTAACACTTTGCAGGAATGATTTTTTTCATTCATTTATTGAATGAAAGATTATTTAGTGCTTGCTGTACTCTAAGCCCTGGGGAACAAAAGATGAATAAAATTTATCCTTCCCTTGAAAAGCTCTCAGTCCGGCAGAGTGACAAACATACAAACAAAAATTACAATGCAGTATAATAAATATTATAATAAGAGTGCATATAAAGTGCTATAGAAGCACAAAAGAGATGACATTTGAGCCGGTATACATTCCGTAAGGACAGAGACTAGATTGGTCTTGTTCAGAATTGTATCCCAGCACCTACCATATTACCTGGTGGATTATAAGCACTCAACAAATATCTGTGAGAAAAAGTAACAGAATCTTGAAGGCTATATAAGTTGACCTGGAGGAGGATACCCCAAGCAGGGAGAAAGGCTGATAACACTGTAGAAAGTATTTTGTACTTCAGGTGTTTGGTATACTACTAATCACTAGAAGAAATGAGGCTGCAAAGAGCCATTACAGCTAAATTGTGAAAATCTTTGAAAGGTAAGCTAAGGAATTTGGTTTATCCAGTGGGTGATAAGGAACCTTCCCATACTTTTAAGCAATATCAGGATCGTATTTTTGTTTTAAAAAACTAACTCTAGTAAAAGTGTAGAAAATGAACTGGCAAGAGGAAAGACTGAAGGCAGGAGGATCATTGCAGGAACACTCAGACAAACCGAAACTGAGAAACACTTTCCAAAACAACTGGCCTGGACACTTCAAACATATGACTCTGAAGAAAGGCAAATACTCATATAAAAAGGCTGGGGAACTGTTATAAATTAAAGGAGACTAAAGAGACACTACAGTTAAATGCAATGTGGAAAGGGGAAGTGAGCAGAGATGTTATTGAGACAGCTGGGTAATTTGAATATGGACTGTTTATTAGATAATATCAAGGTTAAATTTCTCAACTGTGATTATGGTTTTGTAGGAGAATGTCCATGTCCATGTTAGGAAACTCAAGCTGAAGTATCTAGGAGTGAAGTATCATTATGTCTACAACTAATGCTGCTCAGCCAAAAACTACAAACTTTTATGTGTGTATATATAAATTTTACATATTTATACACATTTATATATACTTTATTTTGAAAATTTTCTAACTTGAGGAAATTTGCAAGAAAAGTATAATTAACACTTATATATCATTCACCTAGATTCACCAATTGTCATCTTTCTGTATAGGGGTATGTGTATGATATATAATATATATTATAATATAATATATTTATGTAATATTTATATATAATATATATATACCTAAAAATAGATATATTATAATA